TCTTTTCATTATCTTTACTGTGTTAATAAAGATTAGATGCAGTTTTTATAGTTCCACTTGTTTTGAACTGATGCACACATTCTGTGTATTGTTTTGTTTCATGTATGAATTATGCCGATGACATTTAGATCTATTATCACTTATGTGTATGCCTTTAGGTACTGAAATGTGATCAATGTGACCAGTGGCACAGCGGTTAGGACTCTCGCCGACCGTGCACATGGTCCGGCGTTCGATCCCCGGGCGACGCACACCTGATATCAATGGTTGGCCTGCTAAATTTGGGCTACTGATATCACATGCTGAAAATTCCATACTTGTACCAAAAATACGGTGTGGAATCAAGCTATAATCAGAAAAGAAATTTATATCAATACTTTGAATGAGTACACTGTAATTAATGGTCGAGTTAGTGCTTCTATATGGTTCAGCGAATCGGTGTGGAATTTTCAACAGACTACAGACTTTTATCAACAACTGTCTTCATTGGCTACATACTGAAGATCAATCAAATAGCCAACCAGAAACGATTAACAAACTAGTCCAGAATCTAGTGCCCAGTAAATATATCGAAGTGAATGGAGATGATGGTGACCATTGAATGACATCATGCGCTTTCCCCCCTAGTGAAATTTCAATGGGAAACAATATGGTGGACGTCGTCCGAAAGTGATATTGAGGAGATCGTGTGAGGGAGGAGAAGATGAAAGCGTATGGACAATTGTAAAGTTAGCTAAAGACGACTGCAGTGAACATGGTGAAAGACAGATGTTCTGCTGAAGCCCCCCTATGTTCCACTCTTTTCTAAGAAAAACCTCGATACTGCTTACCAGTGTACAATCTTTCCTTGTACAAGACAAAAATCTTATATGTCTATTAATCCTAACATCTCAATGTTGTTTTGTATTGACAATCTTGTTTTTACTATTTAGCCTTGCACAATTTTCCATTTACACCTTTTGATTTGTAGCAGTTGTATCGACTTTTTTGGTTGTTTTTTTAAATATTTCTTTTGTGTTCATAGAATGTCCAGTTGACCGTTGCACCAGAGGTTAAATCAAAGTCCAGTAGTACGTCGACATCACAGACACCGTCATGGGCAGCTTCTTTATCACACTATATTCGAACATCAGATGAAGCTTTGATGATTGCAGCTCCAAAGTTACTCGCCTATTTCGAAGAGAATCTATTGACAATTGCAAGTATAGAAGAATTTCTAGATGTTATGGGTAAGTTTTTTATAAATTAAATAATATTTTCTTTGCAAAATTTCATCTTAATGCTTCATCAACAGTCATTACGAGTTAAACAAACATAAGGAATTAATGGGTTTTCGCCAGTGGTGTTCATATCTTATTCCGCGGTCTTCAGCGCTACTAATTCTTAATGGGACAAGGATAATTTTTTTAAAAATATAATTAGAGGTGCAGAAAAAGTGCATCATTTCAGCCTATTTGCTTCATTAGTTCAGATATTCTCAATGCTCAATTCTTTGTTTACATTAATTCACTTTCGTGTGTTCACTATAAGTAAATTCACACTAAGACTCAACGTAGAAGCTGCCACATTTTATAAGCACACATAAATATAAGGGGAAAAATCCAAAGGAACCATATGATGCACAGAAATGTCCGGGAAGAAGAATAAGTACACGCTGAATAATGAGAATTTAATAGATAGATCTAGTAGGTCACAATGAGTCAAAGCACTAGCGCCATTGAGGATGATTTTAAGCCACTTTATCAACAATCTCTAACCATTGTATGTTTGCGTATTTAAGAACCCCAGTCAGATAGACTGCATCTCCCTCCCTGTGTGTTTCAAACCAACAGTTAAAGACTTCATATACTGGATATTATTATGTTTATTCCCTTGGGTTTCGAGTGGAACATAGGGTTTCAACAACACATCCCCACCTTGTTCTACTTGTTGTTGTCCTCTTAAGTTGGGTCCACAATTGCCCATAATCTGTATGCTCGATATTACAACACAGTTGTTTAACAACCTAGTATACACCCCTAATTCCTTCTTATATCTCATTTCTATATTATTTCTCTCTTACAATGAAGGCTGACATTTGATTGAAAGGCTTGAGTTGGAAACTTCCTCTAAGTTTTGGACCACACCAGAAGTCTGTTTCTTTCTTTGATTCCTTTAACTCGATTTGACAAAGCCTTTCTTTACTTAATTTCCTTTAAATACAAGGTTTATTGGGAAGTGTCACAACTGAAGAATTGGAGAACATAATTAACAACGCTTCGACTAATCAATGAATAATCTTGCCCACTCACTACCTCTTTTGATGCAAAAACCAAACCAGATTGTATTTGTCAGTGTGTGTGTTTGTGTATGTGTACTTGGTGTATTTCATCTTGTAATTCATGACTGATTTGTGATAATTGTTGATTGTTTACAAGTTATTCTTAGCAGTGTTTAATAAGATGTACCCGTGAAGTTTGTTTGTTTATTTTTTGGTTTCGCAGTAGTCCTGTTGCTATTCAAGTGTTAAAGAGAAAAAGCAACTATAACTCCCGTTGTTCAAATCACCATTAATTATTATTCACAATGTATTAAATATTTTAAACAAAAAATCAAAACGAATTAGTACAATTTTGCTATTCTCCCCCCTCCCTCCCATCTTTATTTTGTTGCTAAATTTTTTTGTGCTGTTAGTCTGTCCCAGGTGAGAGAGTAGTATTCCCTAATGCCATGTGTGTGTATTGTACGAATGATTATAGGCTTGAATTCATCTAAAAAGATATCTGTTGCCATTTTGACCTTGAATTTCTTTATGATGATGATCAAATAAATAAGTGGATGTAATGTGGAGACTTTTTCGCAGTTTCATTCATTGAATATTCATTAGATGTTTAATGTAGGATGAAAGTAGGCGAAAATCAAGTCCCTTAGCCTAACTAGACAGACAGATAATGTACCAAATTTGCCATCTGTGTGAAGGTTATTAGTTCAAATTCCAGTTTTTGTCCTCACGTTTGGTCAATAAATGTTTGTGAATTTCCGTTTCTTAACAACAACGTACTCTTATTGTATAAGCACTGATATTTTCCCTGGGCATTGAAGTTTCTGTGAAATCGTGCGCGCTATGCCCTCGAAAGGGACTTGACTGGGGGACGGCAACTTGGGCGTTGGTCTGAGTGTGAACATGCAGGAACAGATGAGTGCTTATGGGCAATCATCGGGGAGACAACTAAACAGAACTGCAGAGACGGCGATATGATCTGTCTATCTGTCTGTATTCGACATAGAACTTTGCACATATATGCGCCAGTTCAAGTCGCCACACTCCCTCCTTGTAGCACACAAAGCAAGAGAAGAAAGTAGGAGAAATGCATAGTATAGACAGTAAACAGAGGTGTGAGACAAAGGAATAGTAATAACAAAGAACAAAACAGTTTCATTGGAAATCACAAGTCACAAGGAGTGGATGCATTTGCGCCATTGAGAACGATTTTGAGCCATGTCACCAATTGTTTCCAACCATTGGTTTTTACCGTCCCGAGGACCCCAACCAGGAAGTCTAAACCTTCCTACGGGGCTTAAACTAACTGTTGTAGATTTCATTGACTGGTGCCAAGTTTTCGTTTGACCGCCGCTAGCTCTTTTCTAGCCTGACCTTATATCAGCTAACATTGCCCATTGTCGAGGAAGGCGATGACTAGGCATGCGTAACACATAACCTAACCATCTCAGTCGATGTAGCTTCACAGCCGTGTCGATTGATTTCCCCTCCTTACCTAGCACTCGACGCCTAACCTCAATATTGCTCACCTTATTATACCACTTCACGCGGGAGATAGAACGCAGACACCTATGATCGAAGACAGCTACTTTTTTCATGTCTTCCGCTCTCAATGGCCAGGTCTCACAGCCATAAAGGAGGACGGAGCTGACTGATGAGCAGTACACCTGCCCTTTGGTCGATAGTCGGATATCACGTCTACGCCAGAGACGGCGTAAACTGGCATATGCGAAACTAGCCCTCTCTATCCGTGGTGAGATTTAGTCAGAGATCAACCTGTTGGGGTTGATGGTACTTCCCAAATAAGTGAAGCGGTCAACGTGCTCTACCACTTCACTCCCTATTTCTAAACTAGGAGTCAGTGTAGTCCATTTCTGTAACATCATCTAACATTTGGCGTGAGCGAATCGCATGCCAAACATTCGTAGATTGCAGCTCAGGGTGTTCAGAAGACTCTGCATTTTGTCAGCGTCCTCGGCGATATGATGTAGATGTGCTGTTGAAGTTCTGTATTCCACTTGAAACTCAAGGGGAATAATAGTAATAATAATAATAAGCGCTGATGACACTACCTGTCCAAGGGAGAGTTCGAATGTATGACCCAATGGTTGATAATCGAACCACAACTCTAGTGGTGGTAAATGTTGAGTTCTGTTTTAGTTTAAATTCAGTGGGATAACATAACTTTAGCAGGGTTGGTAGTGCAGTAAAATTCTATAAAGGTGTACACATCCATTTAACTTTGATTCATATAACACAGACAAAAAAAAACAATACTTCATAATCGAATGTGATTTCGAACCTAAGTATGCCAGTTACGCATTCGTTGGCTTAAAAATGACTAAGCACTTTTAATGTGATATGTTGCAGTCATCAAGACACATCATTTCAACCCAATACATTTTTTTTCCTTCACGTTCCCCAGTGGAACATAGGGCTTCAAGCTAGTGGCTTGAAGTTTCTGTAGCAGTGTTTATTTTACAGGATGGGGTTGCTAGCCTCATGCCGAACCTTTCCTCTTTACCAGCATCATATCTGGCTTAGTGAGGTAAAGGAGTGCGTCGGCCGGGTTTCGAACCCCGGACCATGTGCATGGTCGGCGAGCATCCTAACCGCTGCGCCACTGACGCAACCCAATACATACACCACACCATATCAAACTCTCTCTTCAATACCTTCTTCCCTTACAATTCTGTGGATAAACAAGCTTAGCAGGATTACTACAGTGTTCATCCGTCCCCAGTGGATTAGAAAGAGTATACAGTAGTAATAAGAAAAAGTTGTTTGTTATTTACATAATGATTTCAAATAAGACAAATTAGGAAGTAATACAGGGTTTTCTCTTTTGAAAGTTTGTAAACATTGAAGTAATATAAAAATATACAAGGAAGAAAAATAATAAGTCACAAAGAAGACAAAAAAGCAAGATCAGCATACACTCAGTTGTAGTTGTTAGTTAACTTTACGATAATTGTACAAAATAGGATATACATTGTTCAATGCCTCATAGAGATGTTCACGGGATTTCGCACCTGTAAATAAAAATAACAAATCGAATCGTAAGACAGGTTACTTAATGAAATAAAAGTGAAAGTATTAAATAATACAGTCAATGTTTCAGACGTAAGCAATAGACTAAACGCCGAATAAAACTCATTTAGTATGATATCCTTCTTGATATGCCATAAATTATAATTAGGGCCTTGAGAAGATTCACACGCTGAAGTTATAAACTCTGCCATTACGAAAGTTAGGCGACGACTGACCTTTCCCCATACATGCTGTAAACCCAGACCATGTCAAGGAAATGGAAGTTGGATTTAAATACGCATAAGAGAATGCTTTTTGATTACGGATTAATTTCAGTTAGGTTAGTGGGGAGTACTGGATAACTGTTTCGCACTCTTCATCAGTGCGCGCCCGCGCCCCCCCCACCAGGGATCGAACCCATGACCTTCAGGTTACAAGGTGAACTCGTATACCATTCAGCCACTGGGATGGGATCTAATAGCCCTGGTGGGGTCATGGGTGCTCACTGACGAAGAGTCCCAGGCAAGGACGAAACATGCGTTCAGTACTCCCTGATTCTGCAAATCTCTACAAACCAACACTTGATAATGCATCTTATTTCATGCTCTTCCTATACTGGTCATTATATCAGGGACAAACGGCACAAAAGAGGCAATTTAATAAAATTAAAAACAACTTACCAGTCATAACGATTTTCCCATTTACAAATATAAGCATTACTAAACGAGGTTTAATTATTCTGTAGATTAAGGCTGGGAATATTTCAGGTTCATATCTGGAAAATAATAAAATAGACAGGACTAAAATACTGATTTAATAGATAATGCGTTACCATTTGAAATCATAGGTGCTGCGTCCCAGTCTTATCAGTGAGAACACAATCACTCTCTGAGATACAGATACACCTAGATGACGAGTCACACATAGGTCGAAGCCCACGTCCTAGATTTCATTGTTAACTAACACCTATCAAACTAAATATTTCTAAATCTAGGGATGTTAGGAAGTTTGTAATTTGTGTAAAGTACTCATCGAACTTTTCATACTTTGAAATTCACTTTCTTTACTGTTTACTCAATAATTCATTCTTAATTAGGAATTTGGGCATGGGGTGATTCGAATCAGTGGACAACTAGAAAAGTGATAAAAGCGATCAGTGAATCACGTGTAGTGACACCGGTGAAGTTTATGTATTTTGATTACAAGCTCAGGTTTAAATCCATAAGTCATTTTAAAGTTAGACTCTACAATCGAGTGAAAAGTCACCACATCGAAGATGACAGCACCATAGCACAATACAACTAACTAGCCAATTATAAGATAAGTTTAAAATCAAAAACAAGACATAGTGGCTATTGTGTATTTTACTTCGTAATGGAGTTACACTCTACTAGTGCCCAATTTTTATTCTTATTTCGTAATGATATTTTCATTTCAAAAACACTAATGAATTAGGTTTCTTCACAATTTGAAAATTAATTCGCGATTTGCAATTTATGCATTTCGAGGTGGATATTCACCACAATTTCCTTAGAAAACCGAAATTATTTAGATCACAGTATATGTGATCCGTTTGATCTCAATAGTTACGGTTTTCAAAAGGAACTGTGGTGAAATTCCACCTCGAAATGTATAAATTGCAAATTGTGAATTACCGGTTCGCACACACAGCTAGACAGAATTTGGGTGTTTTGAACTGATTCAGCTCTTTGAGAGCTCTGCCAAACCAGGTGCACTGCTTATGAACTCAATCCCAGACGAGCGAAACAACTATCTGGTGTTTAGATCAATCACTTCGATCTGACTAACAAGTACTTACTACTAGTTGATGGCAGTGGTAACCAACTACTGATCTCAATCAATCAGTAGTATATAGTATCTATCAAGCATTTATGAACTAGACTTTTTCTAGTACAAAAATGAATTATTTAATGCAGGTATGTTTTGGATAAGAAGAGAAATTGAAGATAGGTGATAGGTAAGCAGTCAAAATCAAATTTTTTCTAAGACAGTTATCTTGGACGCACAAAATAACATAGTGCATCTAAATATTTTAGTGTTATAAGTACCTGCGCATTGAAACGGGCAAGGTTTGTATCATTTCAGTTCGTAGTAGTGAATTTACGAGTGATACTAGGCAAGAGTTACCTTCTGATTTTGTTGATTTAGCTTCGAGTAGTACTTCGGTCGTTATTCTAATTAGATGTGCTTTTATGGGATGCAATATAGCAAACATTTATCACCTTCATATGGATTTATTAAAAAGGAACTATTGTATGATAAAGTCAAAGAAGTAAAAACTTACTGTGTCATCTGTTCATTTGCCAGCTGTACGCCTTCTAATCGGATAGGAAATCTTAAATCAGCTAAACCAACCATATTTTGGATTGTAAAATTCATGAATTTCACCTAGACCAAGAATGAAATAAATAAAATTTCAAGCAAATGTCTTTATTCGGAGGTTAAGGCTAGCAGTAAAAAATAGTTGCTTAAATAAAAATGTTATAGTGCTAAACTATGAAGTAGCACTTGATATGTGGCAAATTACTATTACTATCTGACTCCTTTAGTTAAAGTAAGTTGAGTGAGACACAAACCCTTGAAACCGTTTCATGAAAATGAAATATTACTTAACATGGTTCGTTGGCTTAAGCTTTCAAATTTCAGCCAGTGAGTTTCGGGTTCGAATTCCACTCTACCTAATTTAGCCTGGGCAACTAACTGGGTAGACTGATTGAGTTCCAAAATAGAAATTTGTACAGAAGTGCCTCACAGTCTAATTTGCCACATTTAATAAAAAGCACACAAAGGCAGAGGAAAGAAAAGGAAAATGCAAACGAACTATAATGAGCAAAAATGTATGGCAGAAAGGATAGCAAAATGAAAAACCATGAGGGTCTAATGGATCTCGGAGACTGCAAAGAGTGAATCTATCCGCGCCATTGAGAATGATTTTGAGTCATATCACTAACAATTCCAAAACATTTGTGCTTAAAGTATTGAGGAAGCCAACCAAGCAGTTTACATCTCTCTACATGGTTGGCTCAAACTAAATGACAAAGATGTCATGGGTTGATGCTAAGTTATGATTCAACTACCCTGACTTTTTCCCAAAATGTCAGCTATCATTTCGCAACCAGGAAGGAGGTGATTAGGCAAGTTCGACATGTGTTTTGGACATCTTAATCGATATAGCCTCACAACCTTACCGACTGACTTCCCCCTCCCTCATCTAGCACCCTACACTTTAACCTTACTATCACTTACAATGTTATACCACTTAACATGGAACATAGAATGCAAACATTTGTGTTCAAAGGCAACTAGCTTTTTCATATCTTCCAGCTGGATAGCATTAAAACTTCACACACTAAATTATTCCACCAAGAGTATAACACATATAGTGACTCGTAACATACTAAAAGCTGACAACTCAAGTGGTAAATCAATCTAAGAGTTTAACATACTGAGATTTCATTCTTTTAAGTGTCCAGTAGCATACAAATATTAGACCTATTTGGCAATGAAAATATTTACACATGTATCTCTAAAAGTTTGGTTTTGGTTAGGATTAAGAACATGCAGGAAGAACTACGCATTTAACCTAATCACCCAGTAATCACAACACCCGACCGAAAGCTGCTACCTTGACGTGGTGGTCGGGCTTGAACACCGCAATGACCCAACAAGCTACACTGGCTGGAACTTATGTTCCTGCAGGTCCTACCATGCCAGAAAGGTTGTTTGGATAGCGGTTAGACTAAAAGCAGTTACCCAATCCAATCCTATGACTTCAAATAAATCACAAAATATCATGCCGAATCGGTCGGGGCCCAGACTAACAACGACCGCGCTTTCTGCTGCCGTGTCACAGGGCAGAAGTGATAAATACGCTACTGAGACACACCAAACAAAAACAGGCCGTGTGTGACCGGCCTCAAGCAGTTGTCCCCTGGGCTCTACGGTCACGCAACCAACTTCCACGGTGTGGGCAGCCGGGAAGTAACAATCGCCCTCACAATCCGAAGTGCACACGAAACCTCTCTAATCCTCACTCTCCTTTGTCTTCATCTTCATCTCTATTATCTTGCCTTCCTTCTACTAATGCAACTCCTCTACTTAATGGCTCTTCACTTCCTCTTCACTCTGTGTGCACTGAAAACGACGGAAGCCAAAAAACGACGGAATCACAACATACAAATGGAATCAACTAATGAGGTGTTTGTTTTCGATCCACTTAAAGTGATATTTCATGAGGAAATAACTATTTTTACTGCTCAGTTACTAAATAACTCTTATTAGATAGTAAATCATCATGCAAACCTAGGTTACATTTCCCTTTTCTGATTGACAAAGCATGACATTGCAGAGAACTAAAATATCAAAGACTAAAACCGAACCAGGCAGTCATACAGTAAATACAGTTAAAAAGACCTGGTATTTTTAAACTTACATCAAATCCAAGTTTTTGTATGATACGTGCACATTTCCGCGAGCCTAAATTGGCCTCCATTTCAGATCGTGCACCAGTACATACCATACGACCAGTGCCAAACACTAGGCAAGTTACACGGGGCTCACGTAAACGTATAACTACACCAGGAAATCTGCGTGGATTGTATTCAGCACTACGAACATGAAGTACTAGCTTCCTCAGTTCAATAGGACATCCCAAGTCTACAGTAGATACCATATTGCTATAAAGAAATAAAAACAGAATGTAATCTTTTCTTGCACTCCATGCCATACTTCATAGTTAGTGTTTCATACAAGTTGTGAACTAACTATTGTACAGAGTACAACAAATACAATCCTTAGATGAAATTCAAAATATAAGAAGTCTAACTAAGAATTAGTGACGGGAATTGAGGTCATCAAGGTACATCCGAGAATGTTTAAACTCATGTTCTTCAGCTTAATACCTGACTTAATAAGTTAAGTAGATATCATATTCTTCCTCTGTTGTTTGAGGATGAGATAAAAAAACAGATATGTGAAATGAACAGCAGTTAATACCACTACGACAATTCATAAAAAAGTGAAAACAGTAAAAAAGACCAACAATCTAACATCTACATTCTATAACTACACAGTCAATACACAATGAACATACCGATATGTCGAAAATGAAATCCCATAGTTATAGCTTAGTTCAAATAAACTTGATAAAAATCGTTTAAACAACAACCGACCTATTTGACTATTATATATGTTTCATTCCTTCTTAAAATTCGAAACAGACAAATAAAAGTGAATTTATGCTGAGTAAAGAGCCTCAAGTTACTCCATTTTAAAACAGCACTTCCACACTTCAACGTTTACGTCAAGCCGCTAATATAGTGAGAAAAAATTACGTTATGATCTAAGAGCAGCTAAAATAAGACTATATAAAAAGGTATGAAGCCGTTGACTACCTAACTGAGAAATAGACGCTGATATTAGAACCGTTGAAGACCTTACGCAGTAAATATAGACTGACATATGCAAATGTGTTCTTAGGCGGCTTTGCTTCACCTTCCGCTTTTTGTACCTTTAGAGATTCCACTAATTATTAACATAGTGTTTTGATTTACTTGTAATACTTTACATTATGTTCTCCTTGACTGGTAAATAAGAGATGTGGTAAGTTGAACCAACACGCAATAATGAGCGACCCTATGTTGATAACTGCTGACTGACTGTATTATGGCCTCTATAATTTCACGAGAATCACCAGTACTAGTTCACTCGATCATGAGATCAGAGATGTAAAAATGAAATGTAGGACCTAGTTTCACATGGCACACACCCCAGGCACTCATTCTTCACTACAAAAACCCTACATTACGGTTTTGAACCCCGCTATATCAGTCAGGTGGTATCAATAGCACTTACATAATAAACTTAGTTCATAGCCAGTTAAACAGGCAGGCAAGGGAATATGCAACAGCTGAAGCTGTCATATATCTAAAAGGCACATAAGACATGAGTTTAATGACACTTCAATGGGTAAATGTTTCCAGTGACAAAAAAGTCTTTTATGATCTTCTGATCACTTAAAGGATTTTCGAAAATAAATCCCGTCATGAATAATCAGAGTGGACAGCTTTTAAATATAGTAACGTACTTAACTGCCCACAAAATTTTTAAAGAACGCCTGAAGGAACATCACTTCGCAGACAAGATGACACTACATGATAGTGAAAAATGAAGTATTCGTAAGCACAAAGAGAAAGATACTCACTGAATAACAGGCTTTCTGATACCGCACAAGAGATCTAGTGATTCTGATTCTGAGGAAACAGGTCGTTGAGCAGGCATTTGTTTCGGACAACTACTTGAGTCTTCTGATGACATATTGAGATGTTGACTTTGAATACCTGTAATGAGAAAAACCACAATATATGATCCAAGATTTTGTTCCACAAGAAGTTATAAAGGGGAAAATATTACGTATACTATTTAGGATGTGTTAACAATTGAAATAGCGTATCAGCGAATAACAGCGGTTTCCACGGTTACATGCACTGTTCACATCACTTACCCTTCGTCTACGCAAAACTATATTTTATGAGGGTATTGAGATCTTAAAAAACAAAAATTGCCGCTTTTTTCGTGTAATTACTCTATCCTGAATATCGCCTACACATGCCATATTTAGCTAGTGACAATACACTTAGCAGCAGCTTTCGTAAAGATCGTCAGACATGAATTGCGGGACCTAAATGTGCGATCCACTGGAGTTTAACAACCGAAAAAGGTTGTGATGCTTTAACAGTACAAAAGACAGAAAAGCAGCATGTCACTATTTCCTAGTGACGGAATTCAGTCTGAGCTAGATTTATTCCACTAAATTTGAGATTGGAAGGCTGAAAAGACGCGTATAGTCGAGTGAGTTATATATAATTCACTATAAAGGTGCTTACACCTTCATAAAACCAGGCTAATATGTATGATGGTAATGTAGGTAGCGGTAGTGCGAAGCGTCCCGTTAGCATATTGTGTTTTTATTCAATAAACGTACAAATGTTCATAATTTCGTATATATAGTTGGGATAGCTATAGCTGACCGTAGAATTTTACTGTAAGTAGTAACGTTTAACCTCAATAAATACAAATACATGAAGGAATGGTGAACAAGAAGGAAAATTTTACAAATTTATGTGTCCATAAAATAAATCTAACCAAACGACCTTGAGGGCTTACTAAGTTAAATTTCCGCCCGAAAAATAGTATCCAATATCCAATATCGTTTCCACGAGCTAGTAAAAACCAATTTGATTTCTTCGTGCTCGCCTGTTGATCGTGAGGTATAGGTTCCTGACTCTCGGTAAACTTCCGCGTACCTCGTCCGCCACTCGACTGTCGTAGCTTTGGTTGACTCCAAAAGGAGTACTGCTGGGCTTAATTATATGTGGTTTGTTGTATGAGGTGTGTTAAGACTGTTACTACTGTGAATGGAATTGATCTTTCCACCAGTTAGTCCTCCGGTATCGTCGCCAAAAAAAGATATATTAATAGATATAATTAGTGAAGTTACTGAGACTAAAGACAGAAAAAGAAATAAAGAAAACGTAAAACAGACAGCTGATTAAATTTGAAGTTGATATATATATATTTCTTTTCAACGACTTTACTTTCAAGCTGTACAGTAGTATTTATATTACAGAAAAGGTCATTAAGTGGCACTAAATAATTGCTCAGTCAATATACATATATGTGATAAGAATAACGATAATTAAAATGTTATAAGGGGTAAAGTTGAAGTGGATAAATTACAAAATTATTAAAGATTGTTTTATAAGTGAATTGAAAAATGTTTTAAAATGTCAAGTGTTGTCTAAAAATTTTATAAAATAAGAGTTGGGTACCGTTAGGGAGAAAGAGAAATCTTATTCATTCCTTATGCTCTAAAATTCGTAAAATCTGCTCTGCAGAGACAATCGATAGTGAACTAGATAAGCTTCGATCAAATCTCCCTAATAATGGTTATCCTACAAGGTTTATCGAACGTAACATCAAGAAAGAACACGCCCCCAGACAAATTACAGTGCCGAAGAAGAAACTGTTTATGAGTCTGGCATTCAAAGGTGACACCATTTCGGAATTGATTAAAAATCGTTTATCTAAATGTATTAAACGTACTTTTCCTGCAGCTGACTTACAACTAGTTTTTACCAGCCGAAATATGATTAGACAATGCGTCAAGGATAGATTACCGCTTTCGTCCACATCCATGTGTATTTACTCTTTTACCTGCTCTTGTGGAGCTGTTTATATTGGACGTTGTAAGCGTAACCTCCGAAAACGTGTACCTGAACACTATCCAGTTTGACTAATGAAAGGCGAACGTAGAACTGCGAAGTCGTCTATCTGTGATCACCTGTTAGAGTCAGGTCATTTAGCCCCACGTGATTCATCTTTCAGTTATCTACATGGCAAAATCGAATCGATCCAAAAGTTTACGTTTTCTTCACTTATGCATAGCCGAAGTTTTAGCTATACATGAACAGAAACCTAAATTATGTGTTCAAAAACGTTTTGTCAAACCCCTTTCTTTACCTTGGTCATAGTAATGTTCTTTCTAGTATTTACTTCATTTTATTTTACCACTTGAATTCTTTCCACTTCACTTCACATCTTCATTCTTATCGTAATCGTACTCTTATTTTATAAAATTTTTAGACAACACTTGACATTTTAAAACATTTTTCAATTCACTTATAAAACAATCTTTAATAATTTTGTAATTTATCCACTTCAACTTTACCCCTTATAACATTTTAATTATCGTTATTCTTATCACATATATGTATATTGACTGAGCAATTATTTAGTGCCACTTAATGACATTTTCTGTAATATAAATACTACTGTACAGCTTGAAAGTGAAGTCGTTGAAAAGAAATTTCTTCGCTGAACAAAAACTGTGTTTTTACTTATGAATAAATGGGTATTTTTCGTGATATATATATGAGTAATAATAATAGGTGTAGTAAGATTTGTCAGGAGAATAAGACAGAAGAGAATGTAAGGAAGTTAAATGACGAACTTAGTTGTCGACCCCTGAACGGTGTATGAGATTTTAAGGGGATAGGCCATTTGGATGCAGTCCTTATGTCGCTGCATGGTTGTCCACAGACGGTGCCATAGCTACATCTTCCGGTAAGGAATTCCAGGAAAGACAAACCCGCAGTGAAAAGAAGTGGGAGCGCACCCGGGTCCTTGCCCTCTGGTGATCTATCCTCCTAGGATTCCCACGAGGGGGCCTATGGCTACTCAATGACGGAACACATTTGTTTGGGTGATTCTGGTCATTCGTTATTTTGTAGGCGGTAATCAAATCCCCCCTAAGACGAAGGTAGCTAAGTGTGAATATGCCTCATTTCTTTAGCCTTTCATCACATGGTTTATTTCGGAGACCAAACACTCCGTTTGTTGCCCGTCTTCGAACTCTTTCCAAGAGGTTGGCGTCTCTTCTAAGCAGTGGGGGCGCAATAATATTATGCACTTCAAGGTGTAGTCTGATGTACATTTCATGCAATCTTAGAAAGAGCTCAGGAGTGAGTACACCTAACTGTCTGTGTGTAAAGTGTATGACCGCATATGCCCTCGCTACGTCCCCCGTGTAATTTACGCTTGTGTCCATTTTTTCCGTTAGAACTAGACCTAAGTCGCGCTCCGACGTTGTTCAGGGAAAGCTTTCATTGCACAGGGTGTAACTCTAATTCTGAAGTCTACAGGTGCGTAATTTCGCTACTTTGCACTTTTTCAGGTTGGAAGTCACGCCAATGGCCACTACCCAGTCTTCCAGAAGCTTTAGGTCTTCCTAAAGCCTCTCCGAGTACTCCGGACACTTGATTGCCCTCCATATCTTTACGCCATCAGTGCAGGAGAAGGTCATGGTGAACTGTGTCAAATGCCTTCTAAAAGTCTAAGAAGACCACATGGACTGGAACATTCATATCCCAGCATAACGTCCAATCGTCCGAAGCTGATAATAGGTTTGTTACACAGGAGCTGCCTTTCCTGAAACCGTGTTGGGCTTCATGGGGTATATTATATATATATTCCTGGTGTGATCGTCAATAATACTTTCCAGTACTTTCGGTACCACTGGGAGTAGAGCTACTGGTCTATAACTAGTGGCACTTTGCCTATCCCCACCCTTGAAGATCACAAAAGGGATGGCTGTTTTCCATTCCCTTGGCAGTTTCCTCGAATCCATCGAGTGTTGGAACAAGTCACATAAGGGCCTACTGAGAGCTTCGGTGCACCATTTTAGAGCAGATGGTCTGATTTCGTCCCAACCTGGGGACTTCCCAGCTGCGAGTCTCTGTAGCCTCCTTACTAATATTGCGGGGTTTATTTGGGGAGTGGCCACTAGGTCTTCCTCCGGTGAAACAGTGGTGTCGCCATTTGGGTCCATACCTGTAATACCCATATTGCTGTTTAACTTTTTGGCGAAGGTTAAACTGAGTGTTTCCGCCATCTCCAAACTAGTGAGATGTTGACGGTCTGGGCCTGCAAAGGCGCATGGCCCTTGGTAGGTTGGCTTTCTCTCCGACATGAATCGATACAAGTTTTTGGGGCTTGCTAGAAGTTTTTTGGCAAGGTTAGCCTGGAATGACCTCCTATCACTCCTGACTCTCGCGCCGCATAGGTTCCTGAGTTTCAGCTGGTTGTGCTCTGCCCCTCAGGTGGGTGATCGGTAGATGCCACCCAGTAAACGCTTGGTGTGGCCTACGGTGAAATGACACCATATGGAGTCTGGGAGTACAGCAAGTGGTGGGGCCGTTACGCGTACACATTTGAGTTGCCTGTCAAAGTATATGGCAACTCCATACCATTCCTTATTAACCCTGTCTCTCCTGACCAGGACCATATCACCTATACTGATTTCGTCGTCGACAATAGTGGGGTTGGCCATGTTTCAGTAAGAATGATTATTTTAGGGTGTAGGTGTGACTCGAGGTTTCTGAGTCCGTCTACTTTTCCTCTCAGTCCTCTCACATTGCTATATAGGCAGCTGACAGTGAGTCTCACAACCTCAGCGTGTTGTGGGGTAATTGACCTTAAGTTGTCTGCTGGTAGGGGACTTAATATTGGGACAAGTTGGCCGATTCTGGTGGAACCAGCCCGCTGCCGTTTTTCCCATGGATTCGGGTAGGACCCTTGGGTGACACAGACTGTTATTCTCAGAACCGCATTGCTCACCGAGGCTTGAGGACGTATTAAGGCCTCGATTTGCCACCTCCTTATGGTTCGAGGTCTGCTTTCGCAGCATCCGATGTGTTCTCCCATTTTCCCCTTGGTTTCGCACCACCTTTGAAGTACTATGGCCGGCCTCTCTTGGGAATTGAATTCGGCACTTAGCAGCCTTGGACGACTATTCAGTGTGAGATGAGCGGGGCGAGGTAGTTGGAAAGTGGAGATTACTCCAGATGCTCCAAGGGCCATCTGAGTTGACAGCTATATCCATTGCTGCACATCATGAATGTGTTTTTCACAAGCAGTGCAAGTTTCCAGCTCCCAAACACCGTGTATGACCATGGAGGTAGAAGGCATCAGTTCCGGTGACTCCCTC